GAGAATAGGGCAGTCACAATACAGGGAGCTGGATCCAGTATAGGTTCTGAGAGAGAAAAGAATCAGGACTTTGTCAAATTTTACATGCAGAGTCAAATTCAGGAGACCAAAAAAAAAAATGACATTTAATGAGACTGAAAAACATCAACCTCCATTTCATAAATTTAGCACATTCTGGGTGCCGGCTTCCAACTTCCAGTTGCCATAAGAGAATGGTAAGATCAAAAAATGACCAAAGCATCCCCCACATGTTTGCCTGAGTGAGGTAAGCAGCTCAGAGGAGGGATTTGAAAAAGACTGCATTGTTGGAGCAGCCACTCAAACATAGGGAGGTGGAATTCCATCTGTTCAGCTCAACTTGGTTCAGTGAACTGGGTCACTTTTAACGGTTCACTAAATTCTGACTATCTAAAAATCACAGTTAATGTGTTTTAAAAATCTTGAGCTGCACGACAAGAACACCTTATTACTTGCTCTTCCTTGCCCTTGGGTTTATCACTTCTGAGAATGGGCAGATGGGGAATGCCTCTCATGACATGGGGGAGTTGGGTGTGTGCACCCCACATCAGGTGCTGCCAGGATCTCCCCCATTAAAAATAAGAGACGAACCCCTTTTGGTACCTCCATCTCCTCCCTGATTGGAATTTAGAGGCTGGGGTGACAATTTCTCACCCATGAGAGATTGATCTGGGAACATCTTCTCTGAGGTAGAGGTAGGAAATGAGCATAGAACTAGAAAGCAGAAAAACTATTAAAGAAAAATAATTACCTGAGAGGGAAAAAATCATAATTCATGTTTCAGGGGAAAGCATGAAAGTCTCAAAGCACAGTTTACTCCAGGGAAGTATTCCTGGCTCTCAGCTATCTAAGGAGGAGGTTTCTATCCAATTTCAAATAGTCAATATTTCCCAAGTTTTCAAGGGAAGGTATAAGAAAGTAAGAGAAATATGTTCCCTGGATTTGTGGTCAGTGTGCTGGGTTCTCTTTACATGACAGAACAAGCCTCTCTGCACAAAATTGAGATCATTTCATTTCATGGACATTATTAAGGGTCTGAGAAGCAGGGGCAGATAGAGTTTTGAAGGGACTACCTTTACAGAAGACACCAGGAGTTGGGTTAGAAGAAGGGAGTAGATTTTGTTCTACCACTGTATTTGGGTAACTTGGATTTTATTTTTCATGTCATATTTGCCTATTAAAAAACATATCTTCTTTCTGTTAGATGCTGGTTGACTGTGGTCTCTTGCTGCAAGGTGGGTGTGTGTGCCAGATCATCGGTGACAGACAAGCACCCCGTGGGTTGGAAGCAACATCTGAAATTTTCAAATAGGAAATGAGACAATACCAGCCCAAGGACAGCTGCAAGTTTAAAAACAACACTTCTTCCAAATATCGTTGAAAAAAAAATAAATGATTATACGGGCACTGGGACCATGGCTACTGGATGATGATGAAGATGGTCAGTGATGTCTTCAGTACTGAGGGTGTGTTTCTTTTTCGACTCAGACATAACTTGCCAGCTTAGATTTGGTCAAATTGAAATTCAAGTTTACGAGAGCTAGAGTAGAGGAAGTTATTCTCATCTAAGTCTTAATGGCATAGGTGTCTTTCTTAAAAAAAAAAAAAAGTTGTATTTTTTAATTGCAGTCAATAAATGCCAAATCACTTTGAGATCTGCAGAGGAGCACACTTGTTCAGGCTTCTACTTGTACAACTTGTATAAGGAAGAGTCAAACAGTGATTTGAGGATGTAAGCTCAGTCTTTCGGGGGACGGGACTGTCCCCACCTCTGGCCTTCCTTTGCACAGTTTTCACATCTGCCAACTTGGGAGGGCGTGCCCCCATTCCTCTGGAAATGGCCCATCAGCAGGTGTTTTAGTCAGTTTTTTTTTTTGTCACTGACAAGACTTGACAAAAACAATTAATGGAGGAAATTTTGTTTGGGGGCTCACAATTTCAGAAGATTCAGTCCATAGACAGCCTGCTCTATTTCTGTGCTAGAGGTGAGCAGAACATCATGGTGGAAGGGGATGGCAGAGGAAAGCAGCTCAGGGCATGGCACCAGAAGGCCGAGAGAGTAAGCTCAGCTCACAAAACAAAGTAACTCACCTCCTCCAGCCATTTCCCACCTGCCTACAGTTACCACCATTTAATCCCTACCAGAGGATTAATTCACTGATTAGGCTAAGGCTCTACTCACCCAATCATTTCACTTTTAAACTTTCCCACATGGTCTCACACATGAGCTTTCAGGAGACACCTTACATCTAAACCACAACAGCAGAGTTCATACTGGCTCCCAGATCTGAGCCAGATCTACCCATGCTTGAGTGTAATTAGTCTCAGCCATTTCCTCCTCTCCCCCTCATTGGGGCTACTAGCAGAGGATCACAGGGTCTGAAGAGCCTCTCTCCTCAGAGCTAATCCCCCAGTCTCCCAACTCTGCCCTTTCCAGATTGGACCCCTTCCCCGTACTTCCATCATGGCGGTCTTTCCCAAACATCAATGATGGGAAGGAATCTCTTCCTTGCTTACAAGTTCCTTTAGATGCCCATAGGATAAAACATAATTTCCTCAACAGACATGTCTGTCTCGTCTCTTCCTTAACATTATTCCAAACATTCAAATAGCCATTATTACAAACTCACAATTGTTTGTTGAATTTTTCCTCATTCTTTCAGGGCTCTCCTATGAAGACTACTCTGATTACTTTGTTCAGCCCATTCATTCTCTTCCCACCATGGAAGCAGTCATCTCAGGGCAGGGTAATGATGGATCCATCTTCCTTCCCTTTTCCCCATCTACACTGTGCAGCAATTAAAACCCGGAATATCTACAGCTTAGCACAGTGTTGAATGCTTATTAGGGGAAAAAATAAAGTTTGTTTGAATAGGAATATCTTCTTTTTTATGTGATTTTCTAAATTTTTTTTCTACTTCAGCTACTCAATTTAATATATTCCCAAGGTATTATTCTCATTTCTACTACTTTCTTTCATAATATTTATGAATATAAGTTTATTCGAACATGTACTAGTTTATTGTTTTTCTCTATTAGTAGAATACAAACTCTATAAACCAAAACTATTGTCTTTTTTGTTTATATTATATCTCCCATTCCTATCTTTGTGCCTGCTTAGTAAATATTGTGAATAGAAAAATGAATAAATTAATAAATTCTGTAGCAGAGGATGTTGTGTTATAAATACTTTACTTCCAACATTGTTTCAACAATGACCAAACTTACTGCTTTCCCCCAGATTTCCTTTCTTCTTGATTTTAATGATTCTTTTTCCAGTTTTTCCACTGTTTAAAACTAAAACCTTTTGTGTCAAGGGAAGGAAAAAAAATGAGTGAGAAATTTAGAAAGAAACCCTTTTACATGTTGACTGCAGAATCTCTTTATAAATGGCTGAGTTCCTTCAATTCATGCCTCAGTGGTTACCTCTTCCTTCTTCCTCTCCCTTCTTTCTCCTACTCAGAGGTCTGCCCAAAGCTGCTGGCTAAGCTGCCTCTGATACAAAGGGAATTAATATCATAGGACGTTTGGAGTTCAGCGCCCACTCCACTGTGCTGTTTTGGGAAGTCAAGGTGGGGTTTCATTCCTGACTCTAAGTTGAAATCCTAATATATTTGGACTTTAATTTACCAAGCCTTCTGTATGAACTATTATCCAATATGACTGTGAAATTTAAAACTCTAGAGCAAACAGGGCCTGGATTTTTGCCTTCTGTTTCAACTCTTCATTATAATACTAGGGTTAAGTTGGAGCCCCACACTGAAGAAGGGGTGTGTGTGTGTGGTGTGTGTGTGTGTGTGTGTGTGTGTGTGTGTGTGTGAGAGAGAGAGAGAGAGAGAGAGAGAGAGAGATTCTGTGTATGTGTCCAGGATGCCCCTAAATTAGATGACTGGCACAATCCATTGTGGCATCCCATAAGCACTTGTGTGAATGATTTGAGGGACTCCTAATGAGAGGGCCTGCCACCTGAAGGAAGAGCCTATCACGTGCAGCTGTCCTTAGCATTACTGTTCCCAGACTTCTCTGGGCTCTCCAGATAATGGGGTCTGCCATCAAGACACCATCTGTCCAGAGCCAGGAGTTGAAACAATTCAAAACCAGGAATATGGGCTGGGATGCAGCTCAGAGGTAGAGGGCTTGCTTAGCATGCACAAGGCCCTGTGTTCCATTCCTAGCGCCTCAAGAAAAACAGAATTTAAAAAAATCCAGAAATATAAAGGCACAGATATATGTCAGTGAATGTTGATGCAGGACAGGTTAAATAACCTTTGGGAGGTCAGCTCCTTGCTGAAAATAACTGGATTGTCATGATGAGGACTGTGGGGGTGGGGAGGGGGCTGTCAAGGGGATCAGACAATGGGTAAGGTGCTCCATGCCAGAACACAGCACAGAACAAGTCAGGTGCAGTGGCTATTGCCACTATGACTATTAGTTCTGTAGTTAGAATAAGCTGGGGTTTTCTCTCTTTGTTTCAGTTAGGTTTTTTTTTTACTGCTGTGACTGAAACACCTGACAAGAACAATCAGAGGAGGAAAAGTTTATTTGGGGGCTCATGATTTCAGAGGTCTCAGTCCATGGACAGCTAGTACCCTTCCTTGGGTTCGAGGTGAGGCTGAACATCATGGCGGAAGAGTGTGGTGGAACAAAATGGCTCAGGACATTGAAGCAGGAAGCAGAGAGAAAGAGAGATTCCACTTGCTGGGGACACAATATATACCCAAAGGCAGGCCCCCAGTGACCTGCCTTCTCTAGCCACACCCTACCTGCCTTCAGCTATCCTGTCGGGGGATTAATTCACTGATTAGGTCAAACCTCTCATAACCCAATCACTTCATCCCTAAATTTTCTTGCATTGTGTCACTCATGAGCCTTTGGGGGGCACCTCATATCTTAACCATAACACTCTTTTTCACATGTTGTCTCATTAAAAATGAACAAACATGAGACTCCAGAACTCTAAGCCATTCACTTGTGACAAAGGGCACACATTCTGGAACCAGGCTGCTCGGCTTTGAATTCCAGCTCTTCAACTTACTGAGTAGGTCACTTCAGGCAAAGTGTTTAGCCTCTTTGTGCTTCCATTTTCTCATCTGTAAAATAAGGATGAAGATTTCATCTACTTCCTTGGTGTGTAGTAAGGATTATGGTATTTAAAGAGCTTGGGATCGTGTACATGGTAGACATGTAATCACTGGTTGTTATAATGAATATTATTGTTGTTAACACTGAAGGACCTTGCTGGGCAGCCAGGGGATTGCATTGCACAAATATATTACACAACCTCTTCAAAAAGCTCCCAAACCTCATAGCACACTGCAGCCACTGCACTCTGGTCCTTTCCCAAATTTTGGAAACGTTTCTTCTCCCCATTCCCAGGAGGATTCTCCTCTTTTAACCCTTCTTTTCCCAAACTGTATACTTGTGGACATGTAAGGTCATGCAACCCTTGCTGCTATTGAACTACTGAAGAGCAGGGCAACTCAATCAAGCAAAATAAACACAAAGCAAACAAACAATTCCTTTGAGAGAGGACTAAAGCAGCAAATACTTGACACTTCAACATTATCTTCTGATGATATGGTCAGCTATAAAGGCTTATGTGAATTCATATCAACCTGGCTGCAGACAGATTAGCTTTTTTGTATCTGTCTCCTAGAATATAACCTTGAAGATCTTTTGCTCAGTCACTGCTGGATTGAATGCTGGGCACCTTAAACCAACTCTATTCCTATGATTAGTAAAACTCTTGGTCTTTACTACAGTTTTTCGTTCCCCATGCCTGTGGGTCCCAGGACCAGCTACAGCCTTATTTCAATTCTGTGGCAGGAACCCTGTCTTGATTCCTTACCTCTGAGACAGAAAACTTTCTCCACATGTAAACTCAAAGAACCTTCTTGGGTGCTTTGTGTCGTCAATACTGAGGAAAACAGAAGTCAGCTAAAATTTATCAATATCCTGGAACTCCATATATTTTATATGTGTTGGAATTTTACAGTAGCCATATAAAATGCAAATTTTATTATATCTGTGGCAACCAGATCTCAGGGAGGCTGAGTGGCTTTGCCCAAAATCACACAATAAGCAGGTGGTAGAGACAGGATGTTAACTCTGGTTTGCTTGCCAGTCCCAAAAAAACAAATGCTGAATGTTTTCTCTGATATAAGGAGGCTGATTCATAGTGGGGTTGGGAGGAATAGATGAAATCTAGATAGGGCAAAGGGGGCAAGGGGTGTAAAAAAGATGGTGGAATGAGATGGACATCATCACCCTAAGTACATGTATGAAGACACGAATGGTGTGAATATACTTGGTATACAACCAGAGCTATGAAAAATTGTGCTCTATATGTGTAATATGAATTGTAATGCATTCTGCTGTCATATATAACAAATTAGAATTAAAAAAAATTTAAAAAACCAAAAACCTGTGTTTTTTTCCATTATAGAATGTTGCTTCCTTATTTTCTAAAACTAATATGATATTTCTTGTTTCAAATTTAAACCTGATGATTTATTTTATTTTAATTTTGCATGATCCTCTTAGAGGTAAAGCTCATGAATGGGATGAAAAGGAGTGAAAGATACTATCCTGCACTGTTGTCTCTTTCTTTAGCCCTTCCTTCCCTATCTACCTATGCACCTACCTACCTGCCTACCTACCATATTCATTCATTCATTCACTCCTTCCTTCCTTCCTTCCTTCCTTCCTTCCTTCTGTCCTTCCTTCCTTCTGTCCTTCCCTCTTCTGCTTCCTCTCCCCACCACACCACATGTGTACATGTATATTTTTTAGATACCGTCTAATATCTATTGAGAATTTACTTCCTGGGAAGCTGATAAAACCTTCTCCTTTTCACCTTTTCATTGCAACAGAACTCAGAAGCTCTGTCCCTGCTCCATACAGTGAGTGATCCTCCTTCCACAGGCCAGTGGTGGGCAGAATCTCCCTGCCGGTCTTTGCTTTCTGGGCTGGCACTGGGTCTAGGCTGACCTGGAGCCGGGCAGTGTCTCACAAAGAACACCTGTCAGTGTTCCCACAAGGGCAGGCAAAGGAATATCCCTACTATCCCCAGCAGCTTTGTGAGCTGCTCACTGAATTCCTGCTTCAGATTTGAGGGATGGTTTTAATCTCAATTGATTTGCACAGCTGAGATGAGACAAAGACACAGCCCCATTTTGATGTTAGCTATTTCTACCAATCTTCTCATTGGTTATACTTCAAGAAATGTTCATTTAAGGACCCACCTAACCAAAGTGCTCCATCAGATGCTATCATATTCCCTTTTCTCTAGGGAGTCACTTATTTTAGTTGTTTAAGGTGGTATCTTTTCTTCTAATTATAGCTGAAAATGTATAAAAAAATTTACATGAAAAATGTTTTGTCATTTGGAAGAATTGTAAATGAATGTGAAATAGTGGAAGGTTACAAAGCCAGGAGATGCTTTGGGACTGAATGGGGACTTGGAGGCCCGACTAAAGAAGGTCAATCTGATGTTTGGAGATAGTCAATCAGCTGATATCACTATAATCTCTGCATCTCCTTCAAGACTATATATTTCCCAAAGTGCTAGAATGAATACATCACTACCCTGAAATGGATCTTTGGAGAATGAACAAAAATGTTGTTGTGTGCATGAGACAATTTCAAAAGCAGAATATCCATGGTTGGCTGGTTACAAGACTCCTGAATCAGTACAACACTCCCCAGGCTGTATACACACTTGAAAGAAAGAAAGAAAGAAAGAAAGAAAGAAAGAAAGAAAGAAAGAAAGAAAGAAGGAA